CGAGATTCACTGCAGTGAATCGAGATTCACTGCAGTGAATCGAGATTCACTAGAGTGAATCGCGATTCATTGGATGTATCTCTATTCACTCAAGTGAATAGCTACTTAGTGGAGTCAATTTGTATTCACTCAAACATAGAGAATCTCGATTCACTAATGTGAATCCTGATATTCACAAGAACATTTTTTGTTATTAACTGATGGATAATTTGTACTAATTTTCTTTTTTTTGTCACTGCAGAAGTTTTTGAAAAAAAAATGAGAGTTCTGAACCTAAGGAGTTGACTAGGATACGGGTCTCTCCAAAGATATTCTCTGATATGGTTTTGTCACTCTCTGACTCCCAAAAAGAATGGGTGAGACTAGCTGGACTTGGAGGTCTTTTACAATTTGGATTAAAGGAACTGCCACATATGTTGGGGTACCAGATTCTGCAGTCCTTTGACAGTGAATCCGTTGCGCTTAATCTTCCCAGAGGATCAATCAGTATCACAGAGGAAGATGTACATCAAGTGATGGGATTACCTCTAGGCAGGAAGCGTATACCAGCTTCCAGTACTGGCAAGTCAGCATTGGTGGATGAATGGAGGGGTCAATTCACAGACAGATTTGGTTGGAAAATTACTCCAGGGGCTGTGTCTGAGAAACTGAAGCACAGTTCTGATGTTAACCTGTTTTTTAAACTGAATTTCTTGGTTCTCTTGCACAACAGCATGATCCAATCGCTTAGCAATCCGTATGTCAACCAACGGATTCTAGTACTTGGTGATAATGTTGATCAGTGCTCTGAATACAATTGGTGTTCTTTATTACTTGACTCAATGATAGATAGCCAACACAAGTGGAAGGTTGACCCGACAAAACAATTCTACACGGGTCCTCTTGCATTCTTGATTGTAAGCCACTTGTATACTATTGATTTATTTTTACATTACTATAGTTAAAGTAGTTTTACTTGATGATTACTAATTGATGTGCTTTATTTCTTATCTCCGTCTTTCTAGGTTTTCTATGCCGATCGGGTTCTGTTCAAAGGTAGGAGGTTGGTTGAGAGAACAACCCCTACATTTTTAGGATGGACTGACTTCGCCTTGAAGGAAAGACAGTCAGAGGAAATAAGAACAAATTCATTTGGCAAAGGTGCATTTACAGAGAGGGTTGAACTTCCAGATTCATCTCGAATGCAGAGTGCTACTGGAAACTCTCCTAAAAGTGTTGATACAATTAGAAAGGTTAGCAAATTAAGTTGCAATACTTTGTTTATTCAATTTAATCTCGAATAAGTAGGAGTGAATCTCGATTCATTTAAACTGAATGTCGATTAAGATACATTGAATGTAATCTGGATTCACTACTACTGAATCTTGATTCACTACTATTGAAATGAATCTGGATTCACTATTACTGAATCTCGATTCATTGAAGTGAAACTGGAATGAATCTGGATTCACTACTACTGAATCTTGATTCACTACTATTGAAATGAATCTGGATTCACTATTACTGAATCTCGATTCATTGAAGTGAAACTGGAATGAATCTGGATTCACTACTACTGAATCTTGATTCAAATACATTGAATGTAATCTCAAACTATCGAATCTTGTCTATCGCCATGTTAATAATTTATGGTGACCAATATCTGTGATATTCAAAATGCAGGATTGTATTGAGAGGGTTCAACGGAGAGCTGCAGAGCTTGAATATGCAAAAAATAGATTTGACGCTGAGTGTGAGACAATGAGAAAGCTGTTCCCCAATGACAATGAGCTCTTTCAGATTCAACAGAGAGTTTCAAATGTACTTGTGCAGGGGTGGGCACATCGTGTAAATACCTGTGACGATGAAACAGCTGTGGGAAACATTGTTGATGATACCCCTAATGTGAGCACCAAGATGAGTAGAGATATGCATGGTTCCCCTGTTGTTGATCCAATATCAGGGGAGATACCGCAAACACAAGTCTCCCCAAATTTTATTAAAGAAGTTGATAAGATTATAGAGTCTAGTAGCATGAAAAAGGATGACAGACCAGTGAGACGGAAGATCAGCGAATGTAGTACCCCACAGACTGAAGAACCTAGTTTTTCTCTTGGGCTGACACAAGATGATCAGACTGAATCAGTGGAAATGGTTAATGTTGTTCAGATTGCTAAAGCTTCTGAATCTGAAATCATTAATGAATCTGTACAAAGAACTAATAAACAATCTGAAGATGCTGCTGTAGTTAATGAATGTAAACGTAAGAAAGTTCAGGTGGCCGAAAATAAGGGACATGCGGGAAGGGGGAAAGAAAAGAGGATGGTAAAGCCTGCAACGTCTCTTCGGTCACCATGGGTGCAGAGGGTATCCCAAATTACTGCTAGGCAAAGTCAGCTGGAAAGCATCATATGGGATTGGGTCCATAGAGAAATAAGGCATTCAGGTGATGATTCCGCTGAAGAAGAGAATTTGTAAGTTCTGAACACTTATTTGATATTTTATTATTAGGTGTGAGACTCGCTATTGTTGCTGTTTTTTCAGTGAAATGGTATTTTGTCCCTTTATTAAATTGAATATTGTTACTGTTTTTTCAGTGAAATTGTTTTTAAGTGGAGACAAATTGAATGTTTCTTACCTGCTTTCAAGACTTTCCTTCCTTCTGAGGACATTGAGGCAAATTTAATCAGCATTTGGTCCTATATTTTGAACAGCAGAGAACAAATGAAGTCTGGAAATTCTCCACTTAGATTCTTCTGCAATGTTGAGACAACCGTACGTATCTTCCTTTATTTTATTTAAAATAACACTTGAGTAACATATTATTTAACCAGTTTTATGTTGTACAGTTTTGCAACATTCATCACACAGATGAGGTCAATGATGAATTGAGATACAGTCGGTTTGCTTCTCGGATGGATGAGCAACTTGCTCTGTATCCACATATGAAGTTTAATGAGATTGATATGGTAAAGATTCGAAGACAATGTTTTTATTCTTTAGCCCAATTTTAACTATATCTGTAAAATCTCTTATTAAATTTCATGACAAATAGGTCTTCTTCCCCATAAATGCGTTTGAGCATTTCTACATTGTATGCTATGGGCTAAAGAATCCAAGTATGGAGCTGATTGACAATAGCAAAAACTGCCCAGACTACAAGGAAAAATACCAAGGTCGTCCTGAGGGTTTGGTATGTTTTTTCCACCTTACGTATGTTCTTTAAACATTAACTGGCAAAATACAGTAATAAGTGAATCCAGATTCAATATAGTAAATCTGGATTCATCCAGATTCACTGTAGTGAATTCAGATTCACTATAGTGAATCCATATTCAATATAGTGAATCCAGATTCACTATAGTGAATCTGGAATTCACTAGAGTCAGATAATTCCAGATTAGTTAACTCCAGTGAATCTCGATCACTATAATTAGTTAATCTTGAAACTTTGATCTGTGTTCACATCACGTAATCACGATCCATATTAGCTAACTCTAGAGTCAGATAATTCCAGATTAGCGCTAGTAAATATGTGTTCACATCACGTAATCACGATCCACTAGCTATAACTAGTCATCTCAAACTTTGATCACTAGAGTTAGTGAATCTGGATTCTCATCTTACTATGAATCTCGATTCAATATAGCTAGTTAATCTGTGTTCACATCACATAATCACGATCCACTACCTATAGTTAATTCTAATGAATCCAGATTCACTAATATGAATCCAGATTCATTAGAGTAAGTCCAGGTGAACTAACTCTATTAAATTCTAGCGAGCTAGATCCAATGAATCGTGATTCAATGTCATTAATACTGTTTCCATATAAACAACCAAAACAAATTGTATATTACATTAAACATTACTGTATAATAATTTGGATTTATTATGTGACAATGATTAATTTTGATTAAACAGCACCAGAATTTTGTGAGATATTTGGCAGACAAAAAACATCACAAGGCGAGTGAAATAAATACATTAACGCCTGACAGACTTGAGATGGAGTGGAGAACGGCCGAAAAAAATTTGATTGTGCTATTTTTGTCATGAGACATATGGAGACCTACATGGGCGGTGGTACAGCAAATTGAAACTCTGGTTTTCATAGAGAGGGTGTAAGTGTTTAAACTAATAATGTGTTGATAATTTACATTTAGTCTTTTTGAATTAATTAAATTTAGAATATAAAGCACATCAATTAGCTACTGAATCTTGAACTGAACTTTTATTCATATGGACAGGAGCGATTAAAAAATCAGCTACATAGACTGAGGTCTATATACTGTTACCAAATTCTTACTGAACCAACAAATGAATTAGCCAAAGAAGTCATCAGGAAAGCCCAACTGCACCATGCTGAAACTGCCAAATTCAAAACAGAGACGAAGAAGATCACAAGATCTCAAAGAAAATGATATTCTGAAATCAACAGAGAGTTTCAATGTTGAAGTTTACAGTTATTGAGTACATTGTCAATTAATGTTATGGAATACTCTGGTTTGTGTTGAACTGCTTTTCTATGTAAATATACTTTATAACAATAGCTTTGTCATAGTTTTAGTTCGGATTATATGAAAATACTGTGAAGGTAGTGAATGCTAATGGAAGAATTTCGATTACAGCATAGAATGTGAGTTATAATTCAAGCTTTTATGTAACATACAATAAATTGATCATACTTATTGTGGATTGTATGTATTTAATCTTGGATCACTGTTTCAATATTATCTTAAGTTATTATCTTAAGTTTCACTAATTTGTTGAATCTGGACTCACTTTGCTAAATCTCAATACATTTGGTTCAATCTCGATTCACTAAAGTGAATCTAGATTCACTTTAGTGAATCTCGATTCACTAAAGTGAATCTCGATTCACTTAAAGTGAATCTCGATTCACTTAAAGTGAATCTCGATTCACTTAAAGTGATCTCGATTCACTTAAAGTGAATCTCGATTCACTACAGTGAAACACTATTGACTGCAACTATAGTGAATCCAGATTCAATAAAGTGAATCTCGATTCACTACACTAAAAATTCAGTAAGTCAATATTATCTTAGTCACTACACTATAGTGAATCCATATGCAGATCATTGAATCCAGATTCACTACAATGAATCTATATTCATTATAGTTAGTCCAGATTAACTTAAACCGAAACAATCAAGTAATTTGATTGTTTGATTAATTATAAAGAATCCCTATAGTGATATCGAAATTCAATATCAGATAATCTAGATTCAATGCGATCAATCTAGATTCAATATAGTTAGTCCAGAATCACTTAACGCGAATTAAATTTTAACTGATGACTGCATACAACGACTTTATCATTCCTGCTTAAATAATACAACTAATAATAATGGAATTCACATGCTATATGAGTAGATCTCAATTCAATATACTAACATGACACAATGTAACCATGTAATTAATAATCTAGTAAATATATATAGTTAAGAATTACACAATTCAGTAATTTTAATAAGAAATGTATTCCTAAAAATGATTCTGTAACGAATTATGACAACAAAATTAAACATCACTCTGCTGCATTGTTTTCTTTAATGGGCATGTACGTGCGTCATGGAAATCGATTTTTTTGCACATATTACACAGCCTTGGCACCTTTTTCTTTCGT